ATGATTAAGTTGAAAACCATCTGCATTGTTATTTTCATTGCTGTGGAATTTTACTCTTACAAGATTTGATCTGCTAATTATATCTGCTGGATTGTGGAGACCACAAAACCTTCCTAATAAATTCCATTTTTGATTATAATAATCCTCCACCTATAAAGTATGTAAGATATATATAACTATTATTATTATCCAGAAGTGAATGTTTGTTTTTTTTTGGTAAACTGTAGTACTAATGTATGTACATACATTAGGCTGAAAATCTTACTGTAAAAGCAAATAAATGTTTCTCAGCAGCCAAAAGTGCTTAGTGATGAATTAAAATTAACTTTATACAATATTAATAAACATATTTATATTAAATTTGTATTAGCTTCCAATAAAAAATTTATATTTTTACTGAAATCAATTAATTATAAAATCTTACTAGAACATAATCGTTGCAATTTTGTTCAATATCAAATCTGCCAGGAAATGATAACAAGAAATGAAAATCTGGCTTTGTTTCCAAAATCCATATACATTCTATATTATTCGGATAACGACTATTTGTTTCTGATGTTGGTGAAAATATTGTTCCTTGATCACTACTTGTTTCATGTCTAATAAAACCACCACATCCTGTAAATTATGCTTAATTTAATTTTCTTTTTTTAATTACTCTTAAAAATTAAAATATTAAATTAAGATTGTTTAGATTCAATGTTATCATAGATAAAAATTTAATGTAACATACCATGATGAACAGTTGATGTTAAAAACTTAAATCCTTTTGCTGATCCTATGTTATCAGAGTGAAATAAGACAGTAAGATAATTACTTTCAGAAATAATTTCATTTGGATGGTTAGTTCCACAAAGTGTATGGCTAGTAGGTGAATCCCACCATTTTCCATTTATTAACTTAACAAAATCTTTGTTGCAATCATTTTCTAATTGAAAATCCACAAAAGTTAACTAAAAAATATAAAAAAATACATTCTAAAATATAATTTAAAATTTTAATAAAACATTTAATTAATTTTAATTATAATTTCAAATTTTTATTGAGGCAGACCATTAGTGAAGCCTCTTCTATGTGGCTTACAGAATTGTGTTCATTCTCAAAATTTGATCAATTGATTTTAATTAAACTTTGCCATTTTCCATTAATTGGAATGAGGAATTCAAAAATGTAATAAAAAATGGGGGTCTGTGACTTCATTTTTGAGATACAAGGACATAGAACAAGTGCACGTGACAAAGCAATATTGCACAAATTGCATAACTTTGTCAGGTGATGTCCCAAAGTCACTAGCCTATCTATAGGCTTACAGGATATTTTTCTAAAATTTGATGGCCTTATTTTGATGAAATTTTGTCATTTTCCATTAATTGTGATGTGGAATCCAAAAAGGTAAATAAGGGTCCATTTAAATGTAAAAAATAGCAGTCCATGACTTCATTTTCAATATACAGTGGAGTCAAAGTTACAATGTCGGTGCTTGCTGATGCNATTTATCAATATAATAAATTTTAATTTAAATAATTAAAAATCAATTAAAATAAATAACTGAAACAAAATTTGAATTTTTATTCTCAAAAAGTATAATACTTTATGTGTTATAGTTTCTAGTAATGTCTAAATTTTTAATGTTTCTAGTAATGTCTAGAATTTGACTAAATCTTCCAAAATTTGGAAGATTTAGTCAAATTCAAGATAGGTACAATAATGTGATGATTTATGTAACATCAATTTTGTATGTTAGTTTCCCATTCTTTGTACTTCAATCCTTTATTTCTTTTCTCTGGTATTTTCCTTTATTACTTTAGGCCTGGGTCAGATGTTCAACTAGTTTGGGCACAGTAGGAAGCAAATAAAGGGAATAATAAATAATAAGAACAAGAAAGACATGTGTGGAGAGAATGCAAAAGTACATTTGAAAATGAAAGCTTAGCATGAGGCTCATTTTGCCCTTTTTTTTAAAAAAGATATAAAAAGCTGAGATGAACATGGAAAAAAGTTTCAAATACTTGTGAATGAACCCTTTCATTCCACAGGAAAGTACTCAGAATCTATCAGAATCTAATCTGGCTATCTAGTACTCAGAAACACACATTCAATGACTTCAAAACCATTGAAGTCCTTGAAAAACTTTCCACAAACATTTTGACATTCATTTAACCTAAAGAAAATATTTGGTGAATTATTGATAGTTCTGACCCACTACTACTAACTTTTTTCACTTCCAAGTTTCTACCTTTTTCTTATCATGTGTAAGCCTATATCCTATAAATATAGATGAATTAACAATAATTTATACAATATATATACAGATAAACACAAGATATATGTTATATAAATATAAACATGATATAATAATATTTAATGTGGTCTGGACCAAATATCTTTTGCATTTAATTAATTTTTAACAGTGATCAGACTGAAATTATTATACCATGTTTGGTATAGATCTCTATGCAAAATTATAAAATTGAATAAATTGGCTCTTAACACATATCAACTGTGTATGAAAAATTATATTAAATTGTTAGAATGAAAAGAAAATTACAAATATTAAAAGTAAATTTTTAAATCCCACATCATGTGTTATGAATGTGTTTTTATCTTTAATGTATAATAATATCCTGTAACACGTGGTCATAAGGAACTAACATAACAAAAGATAATACAAGGTGGTTATAATTAAAGTTACCTTTCTCAGACCTGTATAGAACCCATTCTCTTTGATGTATTTTGATTAAACTTGGTATATATGTTATATGAACCATGGGAAAAAAATGCAAAAGAAATAATTAGTTCAAATTTCTACCACTAGGTAAAAAAATGGCACACAAAGAACAAGAAACACAAAATGGAAACACGCAAAACGCTTTTATTTACAAAATTTGTTCAATGTGCAATCCATTTGCATCAATCACATGTTCAAAGCACTTTACAGTGTGGCAGTACGCCATAATTTTGTATATATGCGCTAGTTGTAAGCCTAATATTAATTATTCGATCTTCCGTTCTTTGTTTCCCTATTTCTCAATCTTTCCATTCTTCACTTCCTTATCGGTGGTGGGACAACACCATTCCAAGAATGAGGTGAGAAGAACAAAGAGTGAGCACCCCGAGGCATATGGGGTGGGGAGATAACAGTCATTCTTGACTCGGACTTGAGAGTGAGTGGTTGGTGAGTGTGGAGTTCAAGATTGCTGTTACGAAGAACAGAAAGACGATGAATTGTCTATCCAATTGGAGAAGAACAGAGTATACTCTGGACGAGAATTATATATATCAGTGGATGAGAACACAGTTCTCCCCCCACCTGAAGACATCAGAAGCAATACAATATCCTAGGTACCCTCTACTCTATCTTTTCTTTATATCTATATATCTATTAATCTATCCTCATTCCATTGTTTTCTCATAGTTTTTAAGTTAGTTTATAGTCTTAGTTATAGAAATTCGAGTAATACTCCATTGTCGCAAAACTCATTTCCATTGCGTGATACCACATGCATAAAGCCATTGTTCCCTTATTGTATGTGTGTGAGGTCCAGAGTTGTTTACTGTATCCGAATTGTTTACTGTACAGATACCAGGCAAATAGGTGAGAGCCTGTGTTTCTTTTTGTCATAAATAAATTTTGTTTTGCCTATATATACATATTTGTACGTTTTGTCCTTTCAAGGATCCATGCACATTTGCGTGTCTTAACAACAGTGTGTTCAACAGTATCCCGATAGGTTTCTTGAGAAATTGCAGAAATATGGCATGTTATGCTTGCTTTCAATTCAGGCAGAGTTTGTATGCCTCCTCTATAGACACAACCTTTCAGATATCTCAACAACCATACGGATAATTGAAATATTAAATAAATATTTTGATACATGCTTCAACAATATAGGTTTTTCTTACATACTACTTTCGCATTATGCATGCATGCATTTCATTCTTAAATGAGAATAAAAGAGTAGGTTAATATGGAAGAAAAGAAGAAGAAAGGGAAGGAGCCAAATCCACAGAATATACATGACTTGTTACGATTACTACAGTTTCACTCACTTGAACACAAAAAAATACTGTCTTCAAGGAACAAGTCTGATTAGTGTACACATCTGTGGTAAGACTTCTTGAATTTAAAAATTCTGCACAGTTTAATGAGGATGGATTAAGCCACTTCAAGTTCCTCACTCAAGCCTGGCATGTTGTTCAGCTCATCTCCTTTGTCCCGATGCTCATTCCTTCACCTACTGGTGAGCACCAACAAATTCTACCACATTAAGACTAAAGTGGAGGACAAAAAAACAGACATTCTCTCTTGTCCTCACTGATTTTAATGCCCTTCCATGGCAGAGAGCAATATCTCTCCTACAAACATGGCTCCCTCCAGCCAACCTAGTTGCCAGTCTTCACAGATTTGCTGAAAAGATGATAATACAAAACAAAACAAAAACATGGGATATAGAGTTAACAAGTAATCAAAGAGGAATGCAAAAAAAAAAAAAGGAAAATTCTTGGATAGAAAGAAAAGAACATAATTAGTGCAGAAGCACTACAATCGCATTTAATAATTAAATTTCAGTACTAATATTGTAATTTAAGCAAAAATGGTTATGAAATATACTAAGCTGTATTAAGTTATTAGATAAGTTATAAATTAGGAATTTCTCCAATGAATATCAGTAATAATTTAATAAAATTTGAAAATGTTAAAAATGAGATTACCATAAGTTAAATTTTCATTCCTATTGTAGAATGTAGATATAATTAAGGTTAGGCATCAAAAACCTGGATTTGGCTATCAAAAATGGATATTAACCTTTTGATGGTAACTTTGTTGCTGCTGTTCTTTCAGTTTGCATTCTTTTGATCTAGTATTGTTTATGTTCTAACATTCATTCAGAATTCAAAATTTTTAATTTAGAAATTATGATTATTATACTGTTTGTGTAAATGTAGTAATTTTGTAAATTATGTTTTGAATCTTCGTAAGTATTTCTACATTTCTTATGAAATAATGGTTTAAACTCGGAACACTTAAACTTGAATTACAGTGAATTTGGAGTATACAGTATTTAAAATTCTAATTTACATGTAAATTTGAAAATTCAGTCCAAATTAGTCCAGATTTTTTTGATGCTTCACTGTATATCTACAGAATAATAATTACTTCATAAATANCTTGTGCTTTCAATGAAATTCACAAACCAACATATGTTAACATTAGTTATCATGGTAAAATACCCATTCATCCATGTTATTTTTATCTCACTGCCTCTTGTAGACATTTGATCACATTCAAATAGTACTCTTTATAGACAACATTGCAGAGATGCTGGTTGCCTGTTGAAGTTAACAGTTCATACACAACACAGATTATTTTCAATCAATGTTCATTTCTCTTTCAAATATTTGTGTCATTCCCTATCAAATATTTGCATTAACAACTTTTACAATAACTTTTGAGATTTCTTTAATATAACAAAAATTTTCACATGTGCACATCCTTTACATACTGAAATAAAATGTACAACAGCAGCAATCTACAAGAACCACTAAACATCGCTTCACTCTTACTTATACAACATACAGACTAAACAAAACAGAAGAATGCAGCAAACTCATCAAGATCAGTGGTATAATCTAATATTCATCTTTACTGTGCTTTCACACTAATACATTATTTTAAAAGTTCAGAACCTTTTTGGGCAAACCTCTTAACAACACAATATGGATAATATAACTTGCATATAGACATAAGAATGAAATTTTTATTCTTTATACATCTTCATGGAATGAATATCATCTCAAAATTACATCAAAGAAAGGATTAAGAATACTAGAAATATTCTAGAACTTATACAAATATAAGAATAACTTTAAATATAAAATTAAAGCAGAGAAATGAATTTCTACTAGTTAAAAGATACAATGATAAATTGTGATTTTATTTCATTCTTATCAA